TTAACCCCAAAATTTCACCAAGTATGGATAGATTTTATGGAACACACATCTACGACCCCTAGACATATGACGGACCATCTTGGTCAACCGTAGAATGAGGTACTGGACTTGATTTTCAAAAATTATTTTCCCTTTCTACGAGACTGGTCTACGACCACTAGAAAGTCCTACGAACCGTAAGCTGATCTCGTAACATTATAATACAAGCATGAAATACCCAACTTTAAGTTCACATTGAATAAAATCACTCCATCGTAGGACATGCATGATGATGTGACTTGGAGTTGTATGTTCTTCCACATTTAAGGGATGTGAATCACTAAGAACCCTAGTCTTTAATTGATCAAACTTCAAGATTCAATAATTTAGACTCTAACACAACTCATGAACCCAGTTCTAGTGTTGCTATGACGAAGTCTTGCAGTTTTGCTCCAATGGTTACTTCTCTCAAGATGATATATTTCGTGAATATGCAATAGGTGAGCCTTTTAGTGGCCTTAATGCCACATATATTTATATATATATATGAGATTTGTAGCTCCCTAGTATATCACGGACTAAGACTTTTACTTTGAATAGGACTTGTCCTCCTATAAGGAAATTTATGATTTCCTTCCTTAAAAGGAGTTTCATCATATAAGGAAACTTTTACTCCTCTTTGGACTTTAATTATACTCTTTATTTCTTTCCTTCTTTACTCATCTATTTATTTCCTTATTTTCTCCTTTGTTTCATCTATTTCTTTATTTCTTTTTTCGCTGCTTTATTTCTGCAATTTAATAGTTTCCTTCTTTGTTGCAATCTCTCATATCTGTATAGGCTGTCCGCATTCACGTCTGGAGCTAATAAAGTACACACAAGACAATAAATAGTTAATCAGGTTCACTTTATCAATAATCAAACTACTTATATGTTCTCCTACATCCCAATAGTAACACACAACTTAGACTTTAATACAGCCTTTAAGTGTCCATGTGTCACTAGGCATGGCAAAAAATAAAGTATCCAGGAGTCACTTGACAAACACTTTGTATAGTACACACTATAATAGAAGGCTTTGGACCTACGAAAATAAATGGAAGCACAAATATTCAGGTAAAGGTGGGAGGAAAAAGGTCAACCTGGTACATGGATAGTGCATGCGCGCTCCAGACAGTTGCTGAAAATGGCAGAAAATTTCCTCTCATACTCTGATTTTCAAGGCAATAGTGAAGTCCTTGAAAATGATAAAAGTGAAATAATCAAAATTGACATAGTTAAAAAGTCATCATGTTCAAGAATTGAAGAACAACTTGTTGAGTATCTATGACATGGGTGACAAAGAAAACAATGTATTGTTCACATCAACTTAAGGTCTAGCGCCAAACTCTAACTAAGAGAACCTTCTTCTGAAAAGGCACAAAAATGTGTACAAAGTGGATATCATGTCTCTTCAATAAGATAATCTTACTCTCATCAACGTCATTAATGATATTTCTCTACTTCGGCATAAGAAAATGGGTCATGCTAATTTGAATCCATATTTGAAAAATACCTTTTCACAACCATGATCATATTCGTATGTGAGAAAATCTTCACAACATCATTGATACTTTTATCTAAAGCATCCTATCATCATAAACATCATTTTCATAAGACATGCATAATCATTCAAAATTCAAAGTTCATGGGTTTTTCATAAATTCATACTTGAAAGTCATGGATCATGTTTGGGTTCATATAATCTCAACTAGATATCAGGTAATTTACATTAAATCATGCAATTGCAGATTTAAACAACAATAATATCATAATTGAATGAAACCCGTGTAGAATTGAAAAGAACCCTAATTTGATCAATTAAAATTGAATTGAGAAATTGAAAACCTTGGAGACCCATGGAGGAATGGACTTCATGGGTGAATACCCACATACCTTGCTACTCAAATCCCAAGATGAATGGTGAATTGAAGACCTTGGAGTGAACCCTAGCTTCTTCTTCTTCCTTAGGTTGAGAGGGGATTTAAGAGAATGAATATGGTTGGGTTTGGAGAAAATAGGAGAATGGGTTGTGGGTAGATTTAGGACAAGAAGTTTGTATATAGGCCTTAGAATAGAGTCCAAAATGACATAGCATAGGCTTAAAAAATTAGGAGAAAGAACCGAAAGCCCCGAAGAATTAACTAGCGGACTAGTCTACGGGTCCGACCTACGTACCATAGAACTTTCTACGGTCCATATTGGTCAATCGTAGACCAAGTACTGGGACCTTAAATTTTACCCAATCTTTGACGGAACCCTTCTACGGTCCGAAGGACTTGCTACGGTATGTAGACCCGAACTGTAGAACTCAACTTTAACCCCAAAATTTCACTTAGTATGGATAGCTTTTATGGAACACACATCTACGACCCCTAGACCTATGACGGACCATCCTAGTCAACCGTAGAATGAGGTACTGGACTTGATTTTCAAAAATTATTTCCCCCTTTCTACGAGACTAGTCTACGACCACTAGAAAGTCCTACGAACCGTAAACTGGTCTCATAGACTTGAACCAGTAGCCAAAATCAATGCAACTTATTCTGTTTTTGAAATCCGAGGTGTTACCACCTTCCCTCTAGTTTCTCAAAAGCATTTGTTACTTGGTTGAAGTCCCCACATACTAGCCAAGGACCACTAACAGTAGAATCAAATATCTTAAACTATTCCAAAACATTTCCCTATAACTATAATTATTTTTTGCATAAATTATAAATAGAAAACATAGCTTACCTCAATAGATTAGTGGATTTCTTGTCCAGTCAGGACATATGGTTCAATTGCGACTTTCGTGTTCCTCCAGAAGAGTGTCATGCCTCCTGAGTATCCTACTGTCGGAACTTATATAACGTCAGTAAAGTTCAAAGCATGTAGTATGTTGTTGTGATCTTGCATACTTGTCTCCATGAGATCTAAGACAGTTAAATTATTCCATTCGATTAAGGCTCGCAAATTATTCCTAAAGTTTGCGTTATCTGCGCCTGTACAGTTCCAGAGTATTAATATCTTGACTGATAGTTAGTACTTCTGGTGTTGAGTTTCCTCCTAGATCCAGAGACATTTCCAGGTTCACGTTGGACTGATTTGTTTCTAAGGTTGTTTTTGCCCTTCGTTGTGGTTATTATTACTGCCACATACTTGAGTGGCGTGCTGGTGTTGTAATAGCGCATGTTTAGGGAATGTTTTTGTGGTTTTGACAAGAAAATTTCTTTTATATAATTTTTTTTTCCATCTATTTTCAAGAAATTCCTTAGGTAAAGAGTTTGTACGCATTGCCCTTGGATGTCTAGTTCCTCTTATCGCATTGAGGGATACATTCTCTAGTGTATATATCAGTGGTGATAATTCCTTTATTTGTAGCTAGTACTGGTGGAACTACCTGATCTCCATGTTGTATTCTTCCTCGTAGATTGTGGTCCCCTCGTTGGAGTGGTTTACACCTTCCATATCCAGTATTTGTTGCAAAGAGTAGCTGCTCGCTCACAAAATTGTTTAGTTGGAGTATAATGATAAGTGTTGCATGCTCAAGTTGGAAAGGGTTGCTAGTTATTAGAGGATGTGATAGAACTCCAAAGTTGTCAGCTCCTGAGTTAGTTCCACCTATGTCACATCTAGACTTATGAGACTGCCTGTTGGTAGTGGAGTAGGGTTTTTTTGGTTCATAGGCATGTTGGTTACTCCCTCCATAGTTGAGTAGTTCTGGTCAAAAGGAGTCAATGGGTTTGTGAGGTTCTAAAAAACCGGATGACCCGTATGTGTAGCTTGGCATTTCCATCATCATAGGCAGTTGGTGTGGTTCTTATGGATAACTTGGACAATATTGGGGTTGGAAAGGCTGAAGGTTGGGCTGATTGAGGTTGACGTTGTTGTTTTTCATTGCCATTCAGTGATGGTAGTAGTGAGGATTGTTTGGAATTGTTAATCTTAAGCTTTGGCAAGGGAGGGAATTTTGGATATTGTTGTACTGTGACATATTTTGTGGTAGTTAGTATATGTACAAGACATGGTATGTCTTATAAAGCTCGAAGTAGGTAGAATGAGATCATTACCATCAGTACTATGTTGTACTATAAGATCTTCTCTTTCTTCTTCCCAATTTTTGAGAGGTGCATTACTTTTGAAATGGTTTTTGGGATATAATTTATAATTGTACTATGATCTAGTTCAATTTCCAATGAAAACTGGGTGGTATTTTAGAAGTAAAAGTAATGATGCAAACTTTTAATCTGGAAAAACAAATTGGACTAATGTTAGGTGAGGTAATAATTCTAACATACTCATTTGTACATCTCTTATAAATATTTATCCAATACTACTTATTCATCCAACACTTAATTGTATTTATATACTTTCCTACTGGTATAAGTTACTGATAATTATATTCTTTTCTTAACTTCACCTCAAGAAAATCGAAGAACAAATTTTCAAGGAAGATGTTCAAAGCTTCAGGATTGTGAAAATATACTTTGCGTGATTTGTGAAAAAAATTCCGTCTTAAAACAGATTTTTTAAGTAACAAACCTGTCAAGGAATAAATTTCTAATCCCCGCCAATCAAGAAATTAAATTGCAAACGTTTTTGTATAAGTAATAGACTAGAGACGCCAAATATACATTCAGTTAATTATGTAGCACATCAATACCTATGGTTCATAATTAGAGAAACATTAATTAAAAAGTCTGATTATGTTTCTAGTTTTATTTGTTTTTAAAGATCCTCTTCCTCAAAACCGTAGTAATAACTCTAAATTTTTTTTTTAGAGTGTGTATTTTTTAATGTAGAAATATTTTATTACTTTAAGATAGAATTGTTTCTTGCTTTCACTTTCACTACTATAAAGAAAGGGATATATATTAGGAACAAAACTTTCCTAGTTAGGATTGTATTAATGTATAATTAGAAGATGGAAAATGAAGAATATGCCATTTTTTCTAGTTTGAATAAGAATGCAATTATAGGTGTGAAAGTTGCATAAATAAGTAGTGCATTTTCGAATACAAAGCTAGTGTTAAAAGGAGGAAACTCAAGTTGATACATGCAATACAATAGTTTTTTAAAATAATATATAGTAATTAAGGTTTTGGGAATTTATATTTGGGGGAAAACCATCCATATCTAATTATGCACTTATAATTGAAATTCCAAGTCAGCCTTGTCAGGGGTGGAGGCTGCCTTTTAAGAGGGTTCATCCGAACCTCCTTCGGCAGAAAATATTACTATTTATACATAGTTAAAATTATTATTTATATATATATATATATAGTAGTTGTTGAATCCCTTCTGATTAGTTTATGTGTTTAGTCCTTCAGATTTTAAACCCCTTATTAAGAATTCTAGTTCCGCCACTAAGCCTTGATGTCCTCTTTGTTAGCCTCCACCACGTCCTCCTCCTCTATCTCATTTTTACTTTGTTCCATCTCTTTTTTCTGCCCCCAAAGAAAACCATACAGTCCAACAACTGTCAAGATTGACCCCACCACTCTGTCCAAAATTAACAAAAGCCAAATCAACTCAATCAATTCAATCTTATACTATAGTATATTTTCTCCATTTTAATTTATGTGATGTATTTTGAATTTTGAATTTTGAGATTTAAACAAGTTTATTTTTAACTGTAAATTTTTCATATATCTTTTAAATATATTTTGAATTATCAATTATTGTGACTTATAGTACTTTATACGTAGTTTATAAATATAAAATTTCATTTTTAAAAAATGAAAATTTCATGTGCAGGTCAAACTTTAATTGTTTGATTTTCGACGAACAAAATGTGTCAAATAAATTGAGACAGAGGAAATAATATTTTTTCTGTTCACTTTTACTAGTCACATTTACACTTGACACACCTATTCAGAAAACAATAATTAGCATGATTATTTTACCACTCTATCCTTATTAATTGATGTTTAATATTAAATCCTTGAAAAAATAATTAATTAATGATAAGGGAAAACATGAAAAAATAATTGTCTTTTATTTTCTTGATATATTAAACGTGAAAAATAAAATTTATTTTTAAAATAGTGAACAAATAAAAATAAACATATGAGATGTTTTTGTTCACTTACATTCCAAGGTATAATTTCTCTCTCAACAGAATCCAACTAAGAAAGGCAGCAATAACAAGTAACAACGGATTGAACATCGAGACATATAAAGGACCTTTCCTTTCTATACACCAGGAGCATAAGTATAATGCTAGTGAAGAGCACACAGTTCCCTACAGTAAAAATCAAATATTTTAAAACAAATTAAATAAAAGAAACCAAACTAATATATTAGAGAGGAAATTAAAGATACTTACATTATAAACAACAGAGATAGCTCTAATAGGATTTAAAGCCCATTCAGAAGCTTTTGGTACGACACAAAAGCTGATAATCATGCACTGGAAACTTGCCATGAAGAACATCAAAAGGGTACTAGAATATGGAGCTGCATACTTCTCATTCACTCTTGCCTAACATAAATAAAAATAGTCAAATAGTAAGAATTATTTTATTTACTCCCTCCGTTTAAAAAAAATGATCTAGTTTGACTTGAAACAGAGTTTAAGAAAAGAAAGAAGACTTTTTAATCTTGTGGTTCTAAATTAAAATTATATCAAATGTATCAAAATGCCCTTTAATTTTATGGTCTTAAACATGTCACGTGAAAAAGTTAAAGTTAAAGTGTTGACAAAAAAAGAAATGGGTCATTCTTTTTGAAACAGACTAAAAATGATATTGGATCATTCTTTTTTAAACGGAGGAAGTAATTTTTTGAAAAAGGAAGAAATGAATTAAAAGAATTATAAAATTAATTACTTGAATGATTAACCATAATGCATAGGTAATACTGCTGATTATGAGTATAAAAGGTCCCAAAAGGAAGTTGGTATGTGTAGAATTGACATCCTTGTCATCAGTAGTGTTTTCAACATATTTCCAGTGAAATCCCAATTGGCCAATCACTACAGGTCCACGATACAATGACAATAACATTGCCCCTCCAACACACACTATAGTTCCAATCAATTTGGCTTGTCCTGCTATACTTCTTAGTCCCAATTTTTCAAGCCTACACATCAATTAACACAATTCAATTTTCAATTTTTTTTTTATATAATAATGTAGGAATAATATTTAGGTTATGTTGCTCAGACTCTTCAAAATCGTCAATGAATACGTGTCGAATTAGTATATTTTTGAATAATCTGACACTATTGTGACATCGAAATATAAGAGTCCGTGCAATTTAGTATTTTAGAGAAAGAAAAATACCCGAATGGGACGGCTAGGACAAAAGTGAATGCTGGGATTAGATTATCGAGGGCGGAAACAATCGTCGGAGTAGTATATTTTAGCCCAATACAAAATGTATACTGGTTCGCAGTTATTCTGTACGTTCATACAACAGAAATAATGTTAATTAATCATATATTATACTAGTTGACATAACACTCTCATGTATGTATATTATAAAATAAATATAAATAAATGTAAGGTTCGACTGTTATCAATATTTTTACTAGAGCTTTAATCTTTGTCCTTGTTGTACTAGTAGGTCTGCCACCATACATGTTTTGCTCCACCTCGCCGGTCTAAATTTGAAGTTTCTGGATATTTGAAATTTTAGTCTATTTGAATTATTTCGTTCTAATTTATTTTTATATATAGTTTATACATACTCATCCACAGATTTCTTGAGATGCATATAAAATTTTGATCAAAATTATTGAGTTCTACCAAACTCGTAAGTCGTATAGTAACTCCACCCTAGGTCCTGTATTATTTATTAACCTATCCCTTATGTGACTAAACATCGACTTGACACAACTCTTACGTTGGATTTCAACTTAACGCTATATATATATATATATATCGAACTATCGTAAAGGGTATGCAAATACCCTCCGTCATTCTTTTGGGATATTTGTGCCCCTGCCGTCCAAAAACTAGAGCATATATGCCATTCACTCTAACGTAAGACTAAATAGGGACACGTGGCACAATCTTATCCGTCGATCCAATATTTAATAAATGTCGGATTGGTGGATAAGATTATGACACGTGTATGCCCCTAATAAAGGGTATATATGCTCTAGTTTTTGGACGACAGGGGCACCAATGTCCCAAAAGTATGACAGAGGGCATCTACATACCATTTACGATAGTTCAGGTATATTTATCCTTTTTTCCATATATAAAATGAGAAAAACAGATACGAAAGATACAAGTGTATGCCATTAATTAATTTTTATTTACTTCATAATTCATATGATTAAATTATTTTTACATTTTAATAGATTATTGGAATACTTTTTTCATAGCTCACTTTAATTAAAACATGTTCACTTTATCAAATAGGAGAGCAGCAAGTGGAAAGACTAATTGCTTACCCGATAATGGAACACAAGAAAATTTGAAAAAATACAGATAGGCTCAACTTTGGTCTTGTTTTCCTGCATCAACACAAATTAAATAGCTGAATTAAACATGGATATCTCGTGTATTATCTATTTTTTGTACTAAGGGTGTATTCGATATGAATCCAATAATTTTCTTGACATGAAAATAAGCTCCTTAGTAACTTTCATGTATAATGAAAGTAGGAAAAACAAGTTACATCGATGACATTAATTTCACATTAATTATGTCATCCTCACCCTTCAAGAGATGAATGAAACCGTTTTCGTTCATTTTGGTCCTTCAAGTGTCTTGGATGATGGCTAAGTAATTCAACTTGAACATTTATATCAAGTTGAGTAATTTTTTTAATACAAAACAAAGTTCAATAATGACTTTACTAAATAAATTTTCAAAGTTGAGTGAACTTTTACGATATTAACTCTAATTAACCCTATTTCGAGCAAAACCGTTGCTTGAGGTAAGTACATGTTCTTGAGAGCAAGGACTAACCAAACTATAAGAACTTTATATTGTCCAAAGTAATATAACTTGTTCTAAAATGTTATTATATTTGTCTAGGTTATCACTTCATATTATTGATAACTAAACTTCTTTGTAATGTCAGAGTGTGAAAATCAAAAGGATGATAAATAACATTAAGAGGGAAGTAATAATAATAATACCTCTCCAAGAAGTAAGCAAAGGGTGCAATTGAAATGGTGGCAAATATAGGTCTGTATGCTGTCTGGACAAAAGGGTCCATACCAGTATCCATGACTAGTTTTGTCACAACATTTGATCCAGCATAGCCTACTTGTACAATCACCATTGCAATAAATGGCAACAAATCACTACCCTTTTTCTTCATTATTAGTGAAACACTATATATGAACTAATAATGCTAAATTATTATTATATGAGTACCTAGTACTAGTATATATAGTGATAACAAGTGAATAATGAATCTCTGACTCATATAATTGGTGAGTGGACCAGCCAAATAAAGATATATGTTAAAAGGATATTCCTTCCCCCAACCCAACTAGGAATAATGGGTGTGTTTGGTAGGAAGGAAAATGTTTTCCCGGAAAACAAGTAGGTTTTTAACTTATTTTCTCATGTTTGATTTGTGAGTATAAAATATTTTTTGGAAAAGATTTATTAGTGTTTGATTTAGGAATGAAAAATATTTTGAAAAAATATCTTTTATTTTTACTAGAGAGTAGAATTTTTTTAAATTGAAATTGAAAATATTTTTAAAAAATAAACTTAA